GAGAGAGAGCGAGAGAGAGAGAGAGAGAGAGAGAGAGAGAGAGAGAGAGATTATGCATTACACTGTAATCTAATGTCCTCTTCAAATCACTGCGGAATCAATTATTATATCACACTTCTCCAACCGAAAACACTTATATAAGTTACGTACACATTGTCACATACATCAATCGAGTGTCACGCCAACCCGAACTCAGCCTCTGCACATATCTACACATTAATTGGATGTTTTTTCTTGACTTCTCTTGTCGACCCTCTTGCAGGTCGTCCTTCGTCATCCCCTTGCCGCTGTTCATCGAATTTTGCCCTTGCATCGTTATTGTCATCGCGCCCCTCCACAACTCCGTCTATCCCTTCATCACTCAACGAAATGCAATTAATCACCGACTTCGACGTGGTTGGTCCCTCGACCTTCCTCGTCTCCTCCTTCTCTGTCTCATCTAGCAGTTTCATCATCTCATCGGAATCATTCTGCACCTCACTCGCACGTTGTGCATACCCACCTTGTTGCATTTCATTTGCAACAGCCCCACTCCCGGAAGGAGTGGGGCTCGCCATCTGCGATGCACACTCGTTTCCCGCCTGCGTTATTAGAGGTGGTCCGTACGATGTAACGTTCGATGCCACTTTGTCGACATTCCGTGGAACCTCGGTCGCCTCCATTATCTTGCTGGCTGTCTGACTCATCGCTTCCCCAACACTCGTTGCAAACTGCGTGTTTGACTCCCCCCCAATCTGTGAGCATCCCAACCGGATTGTCTCAACGCCATGGCCAGCTTGAGGAAGATCGATCTTCCAGTTGATACTCTTGTATGACCGACTTGACTCCAAGTCATAGAATCCGTGTTTATATTCCAATCGGTTTTTGGAGTGAGGACATTCGAATAGCAATCGAGCCTTTTCCTCAATAGCTGCTTCATCCGCTCCGTCATTTTCTTTCCTAACACGAAATACGATTTCGCTCTTCGCCAATTTCAGCCACGAGGCTTCACCCAGTCTGGCTCTGACTTTCCATCCTTTTGTTAGATGGACTTCCATCATCCACTTCCCCTGTACAATGCATGGCTCGAATAGGTCCATATGCCACAAAATGTGATGCCCCCACTTGTCAGACGTCGTTTCTGGCACCTTGTCTGGAATGAAGTACGGCTGTTCACTGGCCTGCGCAATGCTATCAGGGATATCATCACCGGGCATCAGCTTCGGGAGGGCATTTGGAACCGCAAAGTCATCCTCGTCATCATCTGGCCGCATTTCGTTGACCGGGTTTCCTCGAGATTGAGCCTTTTCCCGGAACCCTTGATGATTGCCATGAATCAGTACATTCTCAAGTGCTTGAATTGGCGTAAGCGAATCCGTTTGCATGTGTTCAATGGAACTCGCCCTGTCGGTCAYGTCACGCGTTGGACTGCTCGCACCCGCCGATTTCGTGCGAACTTCTTCTTCTTGGAGGCTTGGCGCGTTGCATGCAGGCACGCTTTCCATTCTCTCTCGCATACGTTTCACTCGCTCCTCGATTTCGAGGTCTGAGGTTTCAGTCTCCTCATCGCTCTCGATCGGATTCCACGCATCATATTCTTTGGCAATCTTGCTATATCCATCGTACGTCAGCATTGCCTGATTTCCTCCGAACTTCATTCGTTCGCATCTTGCTACGAACATCGCAAACGACCCCACTTGCGCTTTATGGTAGCCACTATACGCTTCCTGTTCCATCGCTTTGCGAACTATGTAGTCATGCTCGAATGGCGTCTTGGGTTGGCCTTGGAACAAATATTCCCACATCTTGTTTCTCTTCTTGCCCAACTTGTGGTACATGTCCCTGTCAGGACGATGCGTAGTCTTCTGTCTCTCAACGGTGCATTCGTTTCTCGCATCCTTCCCGAGAATTTCGATGACTTTCGTCAAGTATGAAATATCTTTTGACGACGAGTCGCATGCGAAAACATGATGGCCAGCGCGCAGGAGCTCCCACACAAGTCCGACATGCGACTTTCCAATAAGAATCACCCCCTGGTCCTCGTGCAGAAACGAACTGCACAACTTCTGCAACCGTTTAGGATGTCGTTCCCACCGCCCATACACCTCTCGTTCGTTTCCTTCCTCGCCACCGTGCTTTGCTGTGCATCTCTTGAATTGCTCCTC